ACTGAAGCTTTCCAAGGGAGTGCTGGACAAACTTAAAGTTATCGGAGAGTAGTCTCTCAGACACTTAATTTGCGGCAAAGATGTCAGTAGGCTGTGATAAGAAATGGCACATTAGGCTATTTTGACTGTAGTATTTGTTACACAAAGTAATGGACACAAAGTCAATATAAAACCGCCATGCAAGATGAATTCTACTCTCGTCAACGTAATTAGAAGGTCGCGGATCTAGTTACCAGTACCACGTTGATAACACCACAGTATGAAACTGTTAGGTTTAGCTTGCTACACTCAACATTGGTTGCTAACCTGAATATGACACTATCAACCTTCTATTGTACAAGTGTTAGATAAGAGGTGAATCTTTTGAATACACTAATTATGTGAGCAACCTATTATTACACCAATTTATTTGTTATGCTAAGTCCTTGATTTCTACAAGTTTCACAGGAATTGATTAAATATCTCGAAAATTAGGCCAAAACAGTTTTCTTTAATTTGCAGTTAACTACCATCTTGATTAAGCTCTATAAAAGTTACCTATGAGAAAAGGGAAATAGCCAATTCTAGATGAACAATCCCAGCAGCCACTGCGCTTATGGGTGGAATTCCACCCATCATTTCCGCTAGTCTCGGACGAATATTGCGTTACTTCCGATTCTTTCCAAATCTTTCTCTATAAAACTCACCTAAGAGACTAGGTAAATAGCAAACTCTAGATGAAAAAGCCGTAATTTTTTAAAATTTTCATCTTCCTAAACGGATCTTGCTGTACTAAGGTATTGTTTAGTTCATAGAATCGTTTACTTCTTTGAGGTAAGAACTGCCGCTGTTGAGCATGGATATAAGAAACTTTTGAATACAGCGAAGCCCACAAACCAATAAATCTCAGTTGAATCTCTGTTTGTTGCTATGTTCGTACTAAGTCACGACAGTGGAAACGTAAGCCCCACGCCAGAAAGGGTGCTTGCAAAGGGCCAGTACTTGTTCTGCAGTATTTCTCATCCTCTTCCGAACTAGAGTTTTTGGTCGACATGTTTTGCCATTTTTCGTTATTCTCGCCTCACTATCATTTGGTTTATCATACGCATCTTTGAGTAGGAGATGATAAACAGTTTATAGTTCTTGCCCTTGAATAAATGATATAACTATCTTTTTAAACATAACTTTTGCACTAATATGTTGTCACGATTTTGTCTCAAATTTACCCAGTCTCTTTACTTCTTTTCCCCAAAATTCTGATTACTGGCTCGAGATCATCATTCATTCAGCACCTCTTTCCCATATCTACTCGTCGCCAGAGTTCTCCCGGCCCGGGGGACCCGGGAGCTTAGATGGAAAACTGGGAACCAGCCATGCTTCCGCTTTTGATATCTTACCCGTGTGTTTCTCATTATCAGCAAAATTAAAGCGGATTCTGCTCAAGGAAACCAGGAAATTCTGTAAACTATGGAAGATATAGAGCCCATCTCAGCTGCTGAACAGGTGTCGTTCTGTGTAGAATTGATGAAGCGCCTCAACATTCAGCGAAAACAAGATTATTTGTGCGACATTACTTTGGTTTCCAAAGATAACAGAGAGTTAAAGGCTCAGAGAAATGTTCTTTCCCCCGGTAGTCCCTATTTTTGCAGACTTCTTCAGAGCGACATGAAAGAAAATCGAGAGGGGATCATTCGATTTGAGGAGATTTCAGGATCTGTTATGGAAGATGTTTTAGAATTCATCTACACTGGAACTGTGGAAGTAACTCAGGAAAATGCTAAGGAACTTATCGCCGCAGGGAATTATCTGATCATACCGGGCTTGAAAACAGCTTCAGGGCGGTTTTTGGAAGGAGAAATATCACACGTAAACTGTATTTCAACCTTTTACCTCGCTGAGAAATACGATTGTGACGAGCTCATCACCAGCAGCAGGCGTTGTATTCACGAAAACATCGTTAAAGTGGCAAAACTGGATGAATTTTTGCACTTGGAAGCTAAAGAGATCGAGAGGTGGATTTCGTCGGATGAAATTACAGTCAAAGAGGAAGCTGATGTTTTTACAATCATTTTGGACTGGGTAAATCACAAAGTGAGCCCGCGAAAAACATCATTTGAAGAGTTGTTTCGTCATGTTCGACTGGGTTTTCTGTCGCGTGACTGTTTGCAAGGTATCGCGATAAACGAACTGGTGCGTGAGAATTTTGCCTGTGTGAAGCTAGTCATGGATGCTGCCATGAAGATGGCTGTCTTTGTTGATGAAGATCATCTTCCGCAGTCACCCAGGAAAGGGCTGGAAACACGTGTTATTGTGGCACGTGGTGGCAAGTACAATTTATGCTATATTCCTGAAGAAGACCAGTGGAAGCGTTTACCTAATGGTACGAAGGAGCTGACAGCCACTACGTCGAAGATGATAAAATTTCGTGATCAATTGTTTACCTTCACAAAATCTGAGGGTGCAGAGAGGTACGATCCAGTCTTTAACGATTGGTCAGCCTTTAAATCGCACGCGGGCAGCTGTTACGTAGCTATCGTTAAAGGGGAAATTTATGCTGTTCAAGTAAACACCACTGACCAAAAAACTACGGTCGTAAAGTACAATGTAGAGCTGTGCAGATGGGAGGCAGTTGATCTCTCGTTTGACCAAGATTGTAGAGAGAATATTTGTGTTGTTGCAAGTGGTACACACCTGTATATGATTGGTGGTTGGAGAAAAACACGCGGATATTTCGCAAATGGTGAGAGATTCGACACTGTAGAGAAGACATGGGAAGAGATCGCTAGTATGCAGATAGAAAGAGCTGGCCCTTTTGGGGTGGCCACTCAAGAAAAAATTTTCGTCGCTGGAGGGGTATACAGAGGACAAAAATTAAATACTTGTGAGGTGTACAGTATATCAACAAATGAATGGCAAGTATTTCAATGCCTGAATGCTCCTCGTTGCTTTGGTAGTATGGTACAGCTGAATGGAAAGCTGTACGTACTGGGTGGAATGAATGAGAACAACCAAAGTGAGCTGAGTGTTGAGTGCTTTGACACTGCTGAGGACAGATGGGTTCAGAAAACAACCATACCAGTGGAAAGCATCTCCTCAGATTATAATTCGTTCATTGGATGTGTACTGAGGCTTTCCAAAGGAGCACTAGATGAACTTAGTATTATAGAAGCGGAGTCTCTCAGTCATTTTACGACTCTTTAAACCGTCCGGACATTCTACTTAGGCGCTGCTCATTAGTCATTAGTTATCGCCAGAAGAA